CAACAAGATGAAAGGGCAACCTATAGAATGGGACAGAATTATATGCAAATCATATTAATGATAAGGGTTTAATACCCAAAACATAAAATATTCACATAACTCAACAGGAAAAAAACTCAGTTAAAAAAATCTGATTTTAAAATGGATAGAGGATCTGAATAGACATTTTTACAAAAGATATACAGATGGCCAGCAGGTACATTAAAAAGTTCCTCAACATTAGCTTCCCTGGTGGCTCAGATGGTAAAGCGTCTGCCTGCAATGCAGGAGACCCAGGTTCAATCCCTGGGTCGGGAAGATCCCATGGAGAAGGAAACGGCAACCCATTCCAGTATTCTTGCCTGGAAAATTCCATAAACGGAGGAGCCAGGTAGGCTACAGTCCATGGGGTTGCAGAGAGTTGGACACGACTGAGCAACTTCACTTTTCTTTCTTTCAACATTAGTAATCACCAGGGAAATATGAATCAAAACCACAACGAATTGTCACCTCATACCTATTAGAATGGCTGTTATCACAGATAAAAGAAACAGTAAGTGCTGGCAGGGATATGGAAAAAAGGGAACTCTTGTGCACTATTGGCAGGGTGTAAGTTGGTGCAGCCTCTGTGGAAAACAGTATGGACGGGCCTCAGAAAATTAAAAGTAGGACTACCATATGATCCAGCAGTTCTACTGGGTGTTTATCTAAAGGAAACAAAAATCCTAACTCAAAAAGATATCTGTACCTTGTGTTCACTGTAGCATTATTTACTGTGACCAAGACTTGAAAATAACCTAAGTGACTACCAATAAATGTGTGAATAAAGAAAATGTGTGTGTGTGTGTGTACATAAACACTGCAATGGAATATTATTCAGCTATTAAAATCCTGCCACTTGAAACAATATAAAGAGGCCTTGAGGGCATTGTGCTAAGTGAGATATATTAGAGAAAGACAAATACTGTATTATCTCATTCATATGAATCTCAAAACTCATTTGGGGGCAAGGAATGGGCGAAGGTTGTCAAAAGGTACAAACTTCCAGTTATAAGTCAGTCCTGGGGATATAATTTACGGTATGGCAACTGTGGTGGAAAAATCAACCAATAAACAAAACACAATTTTTGACAATATAAAAGTTAATCTTGACAAAATAGAAAAGCTGGCAATTCAGGAAATGGAGGGATGGGAAAGTAGAGAAAGCATCTTACAAAGCAGAGATACTATCAGAATTGATGGTACAAGAAACACAGGTTTAAATAAGTACATTACAAATTTGCAAAGAAACAAAACTGCTATTTTTAAGTATAAGAAATTGGGAGGATCTGGGGTAGCACCTGATAGTGCGCTAGAGCCGCATCTGTATAGCAGGGAATCAGAAGGTAATATCTAAAGTTAATAACTCTAGTGGCATGAGTGTATTAGTTAGAGACATGAAACAGTCCTTAGAACTAATAACAATTGATTGAAAATGGTTTCCTCGAGGAAGGGATGAGGCCAGATATTCTTAAGTTCTCCCATCAGCTACCAAAAAATCATTTTCTTTTAATATCTTTTTCCACATTGACAGAACTGCTTTATCACTTTTAGAAGAACTGATTTGAGTTCATTAAATTTATTCCTAACATTTATTTTTGATGTTATCATAAATGAAATTGTTTTCTTGGTTTTATTTTTAAATTTTGTATTTTAAGCCTTTTAATGATATGAAATGTCCCTCTGTCTCTGGTAATACTTCTTTATCTTAAAGTTTCTTTCGTGTGGTGTAAGAGTCACTCTGTTTCTCTTATGGTTACTCATTCATTTTTAAAAGAGGTACATGCACATGCATATTTAGGACATTAGAGTAGATAGAAACACTGAAATGTTAATGTCAGTTGTATCTAGCCTATAGAATATTATGGGGGCTTTTTTGGTGTGTATTCTGAGTTCTGTGATTAGTTTGTGTTATAATTAGGAAAAAAGAGATGGCTTATATAAAATTTTAAATCCATGGCTGATTCGTGTCAATGTATGACAAAAACCACTACGATATTGTAAAGTAATTAGCGTCCAACTAATAAAAATAAATGAAAAATAAATAAATACTTTTATCAGCCAGATTTTTTGGGTTGCAAATAGCAGAATTTGACTCTAACAAGTAGAAGATAATTGGACTAATCATAGAATCGGTTGGAAAGTTGGAGTACTAGGCTCAGAAGAGGCCAGAACTATAACTGTAACTATAAGACTCAAGATAGGAGAAACTTCTCTACTGCCTCTTCCAGGTGATGCCACAGAAATAAACGAGCTCTGACTTCTTGTTGCCTTTCTTTTGCTCTTTTCAGTCAAGATTCAAAATCCAGAAGTGAGTGTCCTGCTCTGATGGTTGGCAAGAAAAGTACCTGGCACCTTAAGTTACATACAGTTTGAGGAGTCCGTCCACACAATGGGGACAAATGGCTCCCTAGAATGAAATTTAGGATCCTGTTATCAAAAGAAGAGAAGTGAACTCCGTCAGCTAAAAAGCAACAGATATTCACTGTGATATTTGACTTTTTGTTAATGCAGAATTACAGTTTACAGTTGCTAGTCATAAAAACAGTTACCAATATGAATAAGAAATAATTGTTTTGTTAAAAATAGAACCACCATATGATCCAGCAGTCCCACTTCTGGCCTTATAGACAGACAAAACTATAATTCTCAAAGAGATACATGCACCCCTCTGTTCACAGCAGCACTATTTACAGTAGCCAAGACATGGAAACAACCAAAATGTCCGTCAACAGATGAATGAAGATGTGGTACAAATATATACAATGGAATACTACTCAGCCATAAAAGGAGTGAAATTACGCCATTTGCAGCAACATGGATGGCCCTAAAGGTTATCATACTAAGTAAATCAAAAAGAGAAAGAAATACCATATATCACTTATATATGGAATCTAAAATATGACACAGATGAACCCATCTATGAAACATAAACAGGGACATAGAGAATAGACTGGTGGTTCAAAGGGATAGTGATATGGAAGAGGGATGGATTAGCAGATGCAAACTGGTATATATAGAATGGTGAACAATATGGTCCTACGTAAACCATAATGGAAAAGAATATGAAAAAAATGTATATACATATAACTGAGTCACTTTACAGCAGTAATTAACACAGCAGTCAGTGTCTTTCAACTATACTTCAGTAAAAAAAAAAAAAGAATTTGTTTTGAATAATAAATTATTCAAAATAATTATTCAATTATTGTTACTTAACCTGTGCTGGCATGCTCGCCACTGAAGTTCTCACTTGCAGATTTCTCTGTCACTTGACTGTAAGTTCCATGTGTCTCATAATGCAGTTAAAATCACTTAGAAAGTGAGAAAGCAAACATTTATATTTGTAATGAGGAGGACTTTGTGATGATTTTAATGCTTGCTAGAATTTCTGTCATCTCCTTCCTGGCTCACCTAATCAGCTTGTACTTACTCATCAAGACCCAGCTCAAGCATTACCTCATCCAGAAAGACTCTTGCACCCTCCTACCTCATCCCATTCTGGTTTATGGGCCCCTCGTCACTGTGCGTAGTGCTCTTTTTGTTCTCATCCCAGTGTATCATACTTGTTAATTTGTTTGTCTCTCACACGAGCCAGACTGGCAGAGTGTATCTTGTTTTTCCTTTGATTCTCCAGCCCCTTAATGCCTGGGAAATCCCATTGAGAAAGGAGTCCGATTGGCTACTGTCCATGAGGTCACAAGAGTCGGACATGACTTAGCAACTGAATTCACCACCAGCCCCTTACACAGTGTCTATACCTCAGACATTCAGTAAATATTTGTTGAATGATCAAATGGGTTTCCCAGAGAAAGGGGGCAAGGCATTCCATATGGAACCCAGCAATGTAAAAAGATATGGAATGGTTCAGGAATGGTGAGACATTCTAGAGGATTAGCACATTGAAGGATGAATGGGAGGAGAGACTGGTGAATTTGACTGACATTGGTCTCTACAGGACCATGTACTTCAAGTTAAGACAGTTCTATAGGCCTCAGAAACAGAAGAATGAGTGAGACTTGGCAATGGGAGGAAGACAGGACACTAGAGGTTATTTGGTGAATACATACTGGTTGGGCTGGAGCTATCAAAGAACCCTCAAGAGGGTGGAGTGTTGCTTTCACTAGGAGTTAGAGAGTTCAGACATGGTTTGGGAGCAAATTCACCTTCCATGCACCAGGCACCTGTTTAAATACTGGGGACAGAGCAATGGACAGTATGAGTAAGATTTCTACTTCCATTGAGTTTTTATTCTAATAAGGGAAGATGGATAAAAACAAGACACCAAAGCATATGTACACATTGTCAAAACTGAAGTGCTCTGTTGCAAATAAAGTGTTCAGAGCAGCACTCTCCTCGTGAAGCACAAGGGAGCAAGCTGCAAAGAATCTCTCTGGAGTAGAGCAGGGACCCTCCTCCTTTCCCGGCTCACATTCCAGTCACTTACTGCTCAGTTTTTTGGAAGTATAATGACCAGTATCATACATGTTCTTTAGGAATTTGCCTAAAAGAGTTGTAAGTTCTCAATTTTAAAAATATGTGCGTAATATTTATGCACTCTCCAAAAAGTGTTGCAAAGAAGAAAATGTTGTCACAGTAATGCTTTTTTTTTTTTTTTCCTCTCCCCACCCTCCTCATTATAACTACACACAGGGATCTTCCTATTTAAAACTTAATTAGTTGAGTATTATAAATATTAGTTGGGTATTACAAATAAAAAGTATGATATTATAAATAAAAACCAGTCATTGCCTGTTATTGGCAAGTTGTGTTTGTAGTTTGTATATTTCTAGTGCCTGAAAAATAATCTGATATTTTTACAGCTTAATCTGTATCCTTGACAACTATTTGGGGCTTTTCCTTCAGTGGAACAGATTCCAGGAGCAAAGAAGTTTTGCATGTGCCAAGTAATCCAGCCTTTCACTCTCTTCTCTTGGTTGTAGGCTCGGTTAATGATAAAGGCTCTTTCCTGTGTTTTCCAGGGTGCCGATAAGACTGTGAAAGGTCCCGATGGACTGACTGCCTTTGAAGCCACTGACAACCAGGCAATCAAAGCCCTTCTTCAGTGATGGACGGATGGGCTAACAGCTCTGGAAGAATGACTCTCCTGTGGCCTCACACTGCTGCCTGTCTGTCTGTCACTCTCTATCTGCCAGCTTCTTCAGCTAAAATACTTTTAGAGGGGTGAGGGGAGAGAGAAATTCATAACAAATCAGACTACCAGGAAAAAACAAAAAAAAAAAACAATGTTTGGGAGGAGAGGAAAAAACAAGATCAGGCTTTTACTAGGATTCCTGATCAGGTCAGCCTCTTTTCCATTTCCAGTTAAAAAAAACAACTGATACCCCATGGGAGAGCAAAGAGAAAACATACCGTTAACATTTGACCTTTTCAGCTCCCTAGCTAATTTATTAATTAGATTGTGTTGAGGGTCTGACTATACCAAGGCCAACTATACATTTGGTAGCCCTATCTGTGTGAGCAATAGTGGCTGCTGTGACGAAACTTAGGGTGCTGAGACAAGCAATTAGCTCTAGCCTTCTGCCTTAAGATGCACTCTCGTGGGGATCTCCCGGCGTCGTTAAGGGCGCTGCCTGTGGTTGGTGACCAAATCTCCCCTGGTGACTTCCAGCTTTACATGAGAGCTCGGTTAAGGCGAGGGGGCGCACACTCCTCCGCTGCTGGACGGCTGGACTTTGGGTTTCCTCTCCCCCTTCACATGGATTTCATGTATCTTTAGGTAAAACTGACTAGTTTTATTTATAAAATCTCAAATTTTGGAAGTCTAAAGGAGAAATCATTCCAGTCTGCATTTTTCTTTTTTTCCTCCTCTAGATTCAGACATATAACATTGAAACACTTTCCAACTCCTGCTGGTAGTAAAAGGGGATTTAAAAATAGAATCATAGCCATAAGCCTGTTAGATAAAGAGAGAACAGTTGTCTTAGTACCTATGGATTTTCTTCATTTGCTGTTTGAATAGATTGGCCTCAGTTCTGTTTGGAGAATCAAGGAACATTCTTTTGGAATGCCTCTCTCAGACCCACCTTGGATGCTGATTACTTACTGCGCACCAAAGCTTTCACTGGGGTGAGATTTACTGTTTGGACCAGTTTAACCCCATCTCTTAAAAATACGCATGTCACCAGGTTTCCCAGAGTTGTTGATAGGCTTCTGCTGAATGTATGCCAGCCCACCTGCCTAATATATTTTTGTTTCTTTTCTCTTTCATGCATTGCATAAAGTGGGACACCTTCAAATTATATTCTGTATTTTTAAAAATACAGCGCCCTAAAATGGTGTTCTGACCTGCAGAAAATAGTTAGACACATTTTCCAATGTTTATTTCTTGAGCAGTACAGCTGATTAAAACATATACCCTTAAATTTGCTGTCCTGCCTATAAAACAAGATTCATTCGACTTGCCATCCATATATGCTTGCTAAAAATACTAGCGTTTTTCCTTAGCCATGTCATGCAATAATTGAATGTACCTCAAATTTTTAAAAGTGGGGGGAGGGTGGGTTAGGGACTTGTATTCAGATTGTGGTTAATAAAGAATTAATGACAATTTTTTAAGGCCATGTAGCATCCTACAGCAGGGTTAAACTAGTACCAAGAACAGTCAGCCTGGCCAATAACAAATTTTACTGACCAGTTGCTGATTGGTTGGTTGATGTGTGGGTTTGTTTGTGTGTATTTTTCCCCAGTGAACCCTTTTTTTATCCTGTGGCTTTTTCACTTAAAACTAGCTTAACCCTGGAATTTTCCTGTGTCAAAGTAAACAATCACAGAATACTAGTTTAAATACTTTGATACCTGTGGCTAATTCTGCTGTCTTGATGCAGGCTATTAGAGTTGGATTAGAAGTCAGTAATTAGTGCTTTATGACATCACTGCACTGAAACACAGTGATCCTCGCTGAAGATGGAGGGCACTCTATCAGTGTGTACGGTCAGCGTACAAGGTGTTCTGGTATCTTTGTTTTCGCTTCTTGGCATACTGCTGTTTAAAAGACTCGACTTTTACTCTCTACACAGTTTTCACCTTTATTTTCCAAGTGTTTTCTGTAGTGGGCTACTGTAGAGAGTGTGCTGTTCTATCATTCCTAAACCTGGTCTGCTTCCTCCAGTCACCTGGTCCAGAGACCACGTGATTCTTTGTACAGTTTATCCTGGTGTTCCTTGTAATGCAGTAGAGGCTACTTTGCCTTCCCTCTTCTTTCTCAGCCATTTTGTAAACCCCGTAATTATGAAGCGGTTGCTTGAGAAAATAACAGATAAACATAGAATAGACTGACCAAGATGGTTTAGAGTTTTGTTTTGTTTTTTTTTAACTAGGTTATTTATAATGTATTTCTGAACCACTTGGCAGAGAAATTTACAACACTTAATGTTTGTATTTTGAGTAAAGAAAGCTAAAACCTTGTCTGCTTTTTTGGTACTACATGCATTAGTAAAAGGTTAAGTAAGTTTTGTTCGCCACTGCAGTAATATTTAACATCTCAGAAAAAAATTTTGCATGTTCTGTAGTTTTGTATTAAGTCATTCTTTTCATATGCACTATTTCAAGTGAAAACAGGTGGTTTACCTGTCTACATTAGTATCCTAACAGATTCCCCCTTGCAGCTTCCGACTGGTGTCTTGAGACTTACAGTTCAGCTCCGGCACCGGAATCGACCCAGTAGTTCTCTGCACAACTCACCTTCTAAACCCAGTGGGGCATGAAGGAGAAGTAGGTGGATGCCATGGATGGAAGCTGTCAGCAAGCAGGCCCTTCATTCATTGATTTCCTTCCCCCAAATAATGGATTTCAAATCTATATGTACTTATTTGATTTTTTTCCCCTAAAACTTCAACTAAGCTGCTGTTTTCTTCCATGCAATATTGTGTACTCGATTGTGTATAGAAGAAGCTGGTGAGAGTGCCCTCCTACATAAGCAATTGCAGTGTTTGCATGCAAAATTTTAAAAAATTTAAATTGTCCTGATTCTATTTTGTAAATGGAGAAACAATCATATCTTTCTAAGCAGTAATGGAGGAAGACTAGTGCTTTGTGCATTTTGATATATTTGAGTTCATTTTTTCCACAATGTAATACATTTGACACAGTTGGGTTTCTCATATTATCCTAGTTCATGTACATCAGAATGCTAAATAATACTGTGTTTAAGTTTTGTGTTGCAAGAACAAATGGAATAAACTTGAATTGTGCTACAGCCAACGTGTCAGGGTTTTTCATTTTTCTCTTCCCTCAGTTACTTTGGGTTATTATCACCTTCCTCCTCTGGTCTTCTTTACAACTGTATCAGTAAACTTTAATCTGAATCCCCCCCNCCCCCCTTTATTCCACTTCTAGAAAGAAAATAAGACTAGGGAAGATTTAATTGAAATAAAATGTACTACTCATCTCATTGAGAGGTTCTGCTCATCTGTCAGTTTCCCAGTACACACTGTTTGTAATCAGTGTTGAGTTTCTATGAGCAGGCTATAACTGGGAAACATCAGAGTGTCAGGATCTTAATAGGTATTAGAATAGCATCAAGCTAAACCTCTTTCATCCTTTCATATGCTTATTTAAGCTATCACAGAACTATCACAATATATCAGACATCACAATATTATCACAATATATTAGATTTTGTCCTCTTTCTGTAAGACCAATTATTCTCAAAATGTGGTCCCTAGACTAGCAACCGTAACCTGGGAACTTGATAGAAATGTCCAGCCCAGGCCCAGCAGTCTGTTACAATAAGCCTTCCAGGTGAATCTAACGCACACAAGTTTGTACAAGACAATAAAGAGAAAAACAATCAAAAAGCCTCTAAACAGGATGTCATCAAGGGTGGCTTCCTAGAGAGGAAGTAAACGGAAGCTGCTAACACATACAACAGCAAAACTGGACACCTGAGAGGATTTTAAGATAAGCTTCCAAGTTATATTCTGGGTAAAAAGTTGGATTAAGATAGAATAGCAGTTCCAAAGATGTAACACTGGTAAGAATGATGCGTGTATTCACTTAGTTGTGTCCGACTCTGCAACTGTATGGACTAGCCTGCCAGGGTGTTCTGTCCATGGGGATTCTCCAGACAATACTGGAGTGGGTTGCCATGCCCACCTCTGGGGGATCTTCCCAACCCAGGGATTGAACCCAGGTCTCCTGCATTGCAGGCAGATTCTTTACCGTCTGAGCCACCAGGGAAGCCCAGGAATACTGGAGTGGGAAGCCTATCCCTTCTCCAGGGGATCTTCCCAACCTAGGAATTGAACCGGGGTCTCCTGCACTGCAGGCTGATTGTTTACCAGCTGAACTATGACCCTTCGTTATGAGGATTTTTCCCTGAAGGATGTCCCATCAATCGCTGTGGACAGTATTTCCATGGTCTCCAGCAGCAACCCATGGTTACAGTCCTCATAGCTGAATTGCTGAGGCTTGAGCCTTGTCCAAGCCCTTTTCTTTGAGTTCCTGAGTGAGGGGAACATGCAAGGAATTTGGGGAGATATGTCATAAATCTCATGCTCATGTCGCAGGTCATGGGGACGGCTCTAGCCCAGCTGTGCCCCTGCTGGCTTCTGCCTGGCAGTCCCCTACTTACAGCAGGAGAGCCCTCTGGGAGACAGGGTGCCTTCTCAGCTCTGCTGTCCTGTGGAGGCATCATTGCTTTGGGTGTGGATTCTCCACTGCAGTGGGTGTACCACCGCCTCAGAAACGGCCACCCTTGTGCCAACAAGCCATCTCCTGTTTTAGACCCACCGTCTTCCCCAGACACTAACCGGATCATCACACATCAGCCATAGGATATTTTTCTAGAGTCGGACACGACTGAAGCGACTTAGCACACACAGTAGAATTTAACAGCTTTAGGAACACCTGATACATAGCAGACATCTACTGTATTTGCTCTGAACCACTAATGTCAAATCATTATACAGTCAAATGCGAGATAAACTTTGTTTTAGTAAATCCTAGCTAAAGGATTACTGGCTACTGGGATCGTGGGGCTACACCTAAGTGTCATTGTACTCAAATATTGGCCAAGCAGCCTCAAAAGTACCACTGAACTTGCAGACCCAAATCAATGAAGTAGAGACAAATAACACAGTCACAATTATACACTGAGGAAATGCTGACCATGGGGTCAAATGTAGGTCACTGAGCTATTTGTAGTGTATACTAAAACACAGCTGTAAATAGAGAAGCAACACAAAGGATGGTCTGGCCACCCTAGCAACTTCTACGCATTCTGCAGCTGCCGCAGAGCAGCCTTTTTCACGTCATTTGGATAGAACGATGGGTCACAGGTCTGGCAGTGTTGACAGGCCACAGCATCTTATCACACAAAGGAAAATAATGCATAGACAATTCCTAGCTACTGGATGCTGATTTTGAAGACACTACTAGATAACTTGCTTTTTAAAGCGAAGCTGTGTTTTTCTAAGTTTTTTTTAACTTAACAAATCTAAGGCTGTATCCGATATCTGTGTATCTTCCTGATGTCTAATAATGTCCTATATGCACACCCACCAAGTCTAGCCATGTGCCACTTGGTGAATTGTGAGTGCAATTTCAGTAGGCTTGAAAGTACTCCATCTAAGTTAATTTAATTTTACTAGTAACATTTAAAAAATATTTATTGTCTTACAGCTAGGAGTTGTGCTGAGAACTTTTTACATTGGTGGTGGTGTAGTTGCTCCGTCATGTCCAACTGTTTGCAACCCCATGGACTGTTAAACACCCTGCAGGCTCCTTGTCCATGGGATTTCCCAGGCAACAATACTAGAGTGGGTTGCCATTTTCTTCTCCAGGGGAACTTCCCAACCCAGGCACTGAACCTGGGTCTCCTGCATTGCAAGCGGACTCTTTACTGACTGAGCCAGCAAGGAAACCCCCCTTTTATATTATCTTATTCAATTTTCATAATAATCATGTTAAAAAATCATATGTTAAGGAAAAGCGAATATAAGGTTAAATAACTTGCTCACAGCGAGAAGTTCTGTTTATTGATTTTAGAGCCCACACTCCTTCAAATTAAATGAAGAGGAAAAGCTGCTCTCTTCCAAAACCAGAGCTTATACCTGCTCCCCTGCAGAAAGTTCAAGGAAGCCCAGCAGCCCTGGTACCTCTTTTTCTTAATAATAGATCTCTAGAACTTATTTTGCATATCAGAAAACTTACGGGGGAGGGAAGGGCTGGGAGTTCAGGATTAGCAGGTGCAAGCTCTTATATATATGATGGATAAACAACAAGGTCTTCCTGTATAGCATTGGGAAATATGTTCAATATCCTGTGATAAACCGTAATTAAATGTTTAGACATAATTGAATGTTTAGACATAACTGAATGTCTATTCAGACATTTTTAATCAAACTTTTAAATCAAATTATTTGGGAATTTGCCCATTTTTAAAATCAAATTATTTGGGGTTTTGTTTTTGTTTTTTTGCTATTGAGTTATAGAAAGAAAGTGAAGTCAGTCAGTCGTGTCCTATTCTTTGCAACCCCATGGACTGTAGCCTGCCAGAGTCCTCCGTCCATGGGGTTTTCCAGGCAAAGAGTACTGGAGTGGGTTTCCATTTCCTTCTCCAGGGAATCTTCCCAACCCAGGGGTTGAACCCAGGTCTACCCACATTAAAGGCAGATGCTTTACTGTCTGAGCCACCAGAGAAGATCCCTTTGAGTTATATAGTTCCTTATATATTTGAATATTAACCCCTTATCAGCTATATGGTCTACAAATATTTTCTCCTATTGCATAGGTTGACCTTTCATTTTGTTGATGGTTTCTTTTGCTGTGCAGAAGCTTTTTAGTTCGATGTAGTCCCACTTATCTTGTTTTGCTTTTGTTGCCTGAGCTTTTGATACTATATCAAAGAAACCATTTCAGAAACCAATATTAGAGGCTCTTTCCCTATATTTTCTAGGAGTCTTATTGCATTGGGGCTTTAAGTCTTTAATCCATTTTGAGTTGAGTTTTGTATACAGTGTGAGATGAGAATCCAATTTTATTCTTTTGCACATGGATATCTAGTTTTCCCAACACTGTTTATTGAAGACTATCTTTTCCACAATGAGTCTTCTTGGCTTCTTTGTCAAATATTAGTTGAGCATATGTATATGCCAGAGTTTATTTCTGTTTTCTTTTATTCTGTTCCATAGTCTGTGTATATGTCTGTTTTTATACCAATACTATACTGGTTTGATTATGGTAACTTCATAACATGTTTAAAAAATCAGGGAGCTTTGTTCTTCTTGCTTAAAACTGCTTTGGCTATTCAGGGTCTTTTATGGTTCCAAATTAATTTTAAGATTGTTTTGCTATTCCTGTAAAAATGTCATTGGGATTTTAATAAGAATTACATTGAATCCATAGATCACTTTGGTAAATATGGACATTTCAACAATACTAATTTTTCCAGTCTGTGACTGTGGGACATCTTTCTATCTGTATCTCTTTTATCAGTGATTTATAGTTTTTAGTGTACAAGCTTTCACCACTTTGGTTAACTATTCCTAAATATCCTATTCTTTTTTGCACTATTGCAAATGGAACTGTTTCCATAATTTCCTCTTCGTTTGTTTTTGGCCACACTGCTCAGCTTGTGGGATCGAGTTCTCTGGCCCAGGATTGAACCTGGGCCTTCAGTGTAAGAGCACAGATTCCTAACCACTGAACCACATTAGAATTCCCTTTATTTTCCTTTTTGGATAGTTGTTTGTATATAGAAATGCAACTCATTTTTGTAGATTGATTTCTGTATCCTCTGACTTTACTGAACTTGCCTATTATTTCTAATAAAGTTAAAATTAAGTTTTTGAAACTAAACACTATGAACCTGGAAACCCTATCATGCACCGAAGCTTATCAAAAATTACTATTTAAGGGAGTTAGAATTTTAAGACATTTTGATGTTTGTTTCACATTTTAACTGAGCATCTATTATGGTCTGGGCATTATGCTAAATATTTCCTATGAACTAACTCATTTATACTTCATAAAACTATAAGGTAGGACTATTTCAAATGAGAAAACTAAAGCTCAGAGAAGTCAGGTAACTTGCATATACTCAACTGCCATATACTAGTGGTAGGCTGTGCTTCCTACATAAATTTCCTCTCCAACTCTCAGTGAACCAACTTATGACATTTTATTCAGTAAATACACATTTTCCAAGTTCTTAAACATTTTATGATTCTATAAGAAAACATTTTATGAGTTTGT